ATGAATAAAGTGGATCATTTTTTAATTTTTATCATGTACCCACTGAAGGCAAGAGCTCAGATACTAGCCTGTTTTTAAAATATTAGGTGAACTTTGACCAAAATTATTTCTTGCCCTTATCCTCTTCATCCTCAAATTTCTACTCTTATCCACATCTGGACATCCTGCTGGACAAACAGAAAGACATAAAAGAAACACAGGAAAATTCCTTAAATATGCACTCTTTTTCTCTCTACATATAATGATTCAAGTATTGTTTACCAGAAAGAGCAGAAAGTCAGTAAAATCTAAATTGCTCAATCTGTAAATGAAACACGTATCCTGTCTTCTCAAAAGCTACTACTTACCAATGCCAGTTCTCACCATTTAGAAGCCATTTGGAAGTAGCTGTTTTAATTAATCAATTAAAATGATCCCTTCCAGCAACTTTGCAGTACATCCAGAAACTGTCTTCAGGAAGCCAGTCTTGACACAGAGAACTACAAAGGAAGAGGCTGGAAATGGACCCTGCACCTCCCGTGGCCAAATGGTGATGGCTCACAGCCTTGATGAAGAGAGCAGAAGTGTGTGCTGGGCAGGATGGCCATTGGTTGTAGTCCACAGGGGACCGTCACTTCTGCATCACTTTAGAGATGACCACAATAGCATGCTTTGGCCCATTAAAGGCTGGTTTATTCTCACCCAGTTCAGAGACATGAGAGGTCATTAGGAATATGTTGCAGTCCAGGTATAAAAGCACTCTGAAGGAGGTTGATTTACTCTAGTAGGAAGAAATAATCTTGTGCTGTCCTAAATGAAAGCTTATGGTTTAATCACAACTTGACCTTAGGGTTTTGCTTGTTCAGAAGAACGAGCTATATAATCCATTAGTCCTTTGACGCTGTCATTAGCAGTCCTCATAAACCTGACTCTTCAAAGACACAATGCTAAGGAGTCATAGAATCATAGAATACCAGGTTGGAAGGGACCTCAAGGATCATCTGGTCCAAGATAGATACATTACTAACCTGGAGCACTGTTTGCTGAACAAGCAGGGGGTGAACATATGGGCTACAAGGACATGGTGCTGGCTCTCATAATCAACTGCAGATTAAGGGCTGGTATGAGGAAAGCACTTCAGTTCACCCTCAGCTTCCAGCTTGGTTGGCAGCTGCTCAGCATATTTGAGGGGCAGTCAGCCATTGCATGTGTTCATTGTTAGTGAGGTGGTTGCAGTCAGATGCTTAACCTTATTGAGGTCAGAAGAGATGACTAGCAGCCTTACCTCTCACCTGCCACTACAGGTGGGTAATATGGGGACAATGCGGTTGTGCAGTTGCTGTTGCTACACTCAGGACTGGCCTGAGAGGTTTCATGCTGGCCTCACACAACTGGTTTCCAATGCACTCCACAAAAGCTTATGCCTTGCAGGCATGTGCAGTACTGGAAATGCACAGATGCAAGGACATATCCTCCCAGAGCTGTCTGTGGCCATTACCCTTATTTTTGATCTGTGAGAAAGCAGGAACTGATGCAACAGGCCCTTGAGTAAGAGAAAAGCTGCTCACCACCGTTAAAGTGGTGAAAGACCTAGGTTCAAATGAGCACCATAAAAGACACAGAATTCAGCTATAGCTTAGAGCCCTGCCTATGACCTTGTGTGGCACGATCTCAGGCACTGGGAAGAAGACAAGGGAGAGCAAAACTCACCCAGTGTTATCTGAGCTGCATGGGGAATATCTCATTCTGGGCATCTTGCAGAGGCAGTGAGTGACCCCACACCTAACCAGAGACATCTTGCCAGTGGGTCGGTACCTCTGCCTTGCTGCAAACCCATTTTAAGAGCATGGCTGGACTGGCGCCAGAGCACTCAACACCTTGCAGAACTGAGCTCACTCTGTATTAAAAATATCATTCAGCTCTTCGGTACTTGCTGGAAACAGCAACGTGAAATCCAGGACATAGACCAATGGGGATGACACGGTGATAAGACAGGCTTGCCAACGAAGGTGGGAGGGTGGACCGCACTGGAACTTCTGGTGAAGCATCTGGGCAGCCCCTTGCGACCGCCCGGGGTGCCCTGTGGCTGTGGAGCATGACAGCAGTGTTGGCACACCGCTCAGAGACCTTGGCGGGCTTGTGTTGAGGTGGGAAGGCAGGAACAGCTGAGCTGCATCGGCTTTCTGCAGCCTTCCAAGGAGAGGACTGGGATTGTAGGTTTGTGGTATTGGAGCTACGAATATTCAGTAAAGATGTTAAAAATCTTTATTAAATCTGCACCTACTGAACTCACGAGACTGTGATAACGTAAAGAACCAGCAAATAAGCCAATGGCTCCTTCAGAAGCTCCTTTACCACCTTGTTCATAATCACAGTTACAACTCTGAGCACTTTGAAGCAGTCACTAAAATACGGCCAGTTAATAATCACAGTAAATATCTGCTGTTTAGAGCAACGCTCAGCTTCTCTAGTCATCTGGCAGGATTATTCTGATCCCACAAATCCCTATGCTCTTGCTGCAGTACAGCAGCCCTGTGGAAGGCAGGCTGTGTGGGATCTCTACCTGTTTCATTTAGGACTACCATGCAGTTTTAAAATGCATACTCAGTTTGATACATGGTGTCACTGGCTTGCACTGGGAGCAGCAGTGGGGTGTACCTGCTCAGCCGTAGCTGCTAAGGAGATGTGTACATCTGCCTCCCAGCTGCACTGACAACAGCCTGTTTTCTTTGCCAGCCCAATACGGTACTGACTGTCAGCGCTCTTGTAAACACCAAAATCTGGGTCAATTAACCTCATGTATGACAACAGAGCATAATATCTGCCCAGAGCTGAAACCGATCGGTACAACTTCCTGCGGGAGTATTTGCCTCTCCGTTTCCCACTCTGCCTCACCACTGTTTCAGCCCTTTGGCTCCGGGTCACTAATCGCCTCCTTGCACAACATGGAGGACACCAACCCACCACACGTGTGGCAGAGCCCCAGATCATGCAGCTTAGTTGAATCTCTTCTATAAAAAATCTTTGAGAAGGAGACAGTGTCTTAAAAGTCAGGCTTTTGCCTCATTGACAGATGACCCAACTATATCACTGATTTTAGCAAAGACAATCAGTGGTTTTCCATCATACCTTATATATAAATATATGGATTTTGTTTTAATGCATGCATACAGATAAAAGAGAGAAAGAGCTTTATGAGAGGACACTGACCTGCTTGATAGCAGAAGCTATTTTTAAATTTACACAGATAAATGTATAAACAAAAGACCCAATCCCCTGGTGATCCTTCTCTCCTAAATATTTTTTGTCCTCCACCTAGAAAAAGAATTTCCATCTTCTGTTTCCCTGAATATCTGAATGAAAATCTCCAGCAGTTTTCTAATTCCACGTAATTTGTGCACATCACAGCAACACTGTTTCCTGATCTAATCTGTTTTCCAGATAGCTTGCTTTCAAACAATTAGCTACATCAGGATTTCTCCATAGCAAATCAATTGTTGATAGCTTTGGCTCAGCCAGATACAAGCTTCAGAATGATGACATGCCTCTCAAAAAAAATCACAAAAAATGGCAAGTGGCTGTTACAGTAAGCCTCTCAAAAATAAATTACAGTTGCCATACCATGTCACCCTTTGATTCTGATTTTGTTTATCCTTTACCCTTTCAGTATATTCCCCAAAGATAGAATGAGACAGACATGCTCCAATTACTCTTCTTCGGTAAGCTGTAATTCCTTGAAAAACTCCTTTGAAGTTGGTACTAATCAATGTGAAGAAGATTGGCAAAGTCCAGCCCAGTCCCAATGCAAGTAAGCTTAAAAAAAAAAAAGGCATATATAACAGAAAAAGAAATAGCAAATATAACAGTATGCTCATTACAATAATACAACACTTCATGCAACCTATGTTGAATGACCAGCGCAGGCCAGTCTTAGCAGGTTCATAAACTTTGACAATGATATATTTGGGCAAGGAAGGAAGCAGCACATACAAGACAAGGGCCAAGTCTAGAGAAAAGCTGTGCTTTCTGAATTCACAGTGCGTAAAATCTTCTATATTTTTCATTAAATACTCTATTTCTTCTTTTAAGAAAAATCTTTAGGAAGCAGATTTTGTAAGACTGCTGGAACCATGTCCCACTGAAAGGATTAATTGAAATATTCCCCCTATTCTGTGAAGTTTCCTCTGAAGAGAAGCTACTCACCCCTAAGATGAAGCTCAAGCCCATCACCGCATGTGATGCCAAGCGTACAGCAAGCAGCGGAGGTTAAGACAACCGATTGCAATCAATCCAGTTATTGCAGCTTAATGAGTTACTGCTGATTAGCTTGAGTCCTCATGACTGACAACTTTCATTCCTTGACTAAGGCAATTGCAAAGCTAATGTGTTAACTTTTACCTGTTTTCATTATCTGTCAATATTTATAAACAAATACAACCAGTTTACTTCTCATGAGTAATCCCATGACTATGCTTTGAATACAATGAGTACAATGCCCCCCCCCCATTTAAAGTTTTCAAGCAGTTACTGGCAAACCCATTATCAGTTAAAGGCCATAAACATTTATCCAGTGCTGCTAGGCATCCTGGTGGCAAACTGAATCTTTTTGTTCTGATCAGTCCAAGAAAACTCATGACTTTTTTCCCCTGGTGATTTTAATGCAAAGGTTTTATGAGCCTGTGAAAGGAATTGAAGGAAGCCTGGGCATTTTTCTCAGTAGCCATCTGAGTTTTCTTCTGTGCTTACTGCAGAGGAGCTGAGTTATCAGCACGACTGAGAGTGTTTTATAGGGGTCAGCCTCTGCCTCTCAGTCAGCTGTGTGCACTGAAAGAGCCTCTAAATATGTATGAGAAATTTCTGTGTATGGACCAGAGAGTAAAAGCCAAGGCTAAGCTTGCATTGAAGACATTCACATTAATGCCACGCTGTTTGCTTTTCCCAAACAAGATATCACTGTCGCATGGCCCTGCACTCACAAAGAGAGGAGACGCAGTTCAAGGACTGACAATAGATACTTTTTTTAAAACATTTTCTTGCTTTTTATTTGTTTTTCCTGATGGTTGCTACAAGCAAAGGAGGTATTCAGAAATGTAACTGCACGATACAAACACAGGCAGCAAACTAAGTTGATGGCATGAAAGGTGTATCTGAGAACACGGAGTTGACAGAATCGGAGTCAGATTTTGTTCGAGTAGTTTTTAAGATACTCTCAGCAATTATATTGTCATTAGGAAACAGTTTTACTTTCCCATTCTGACTGTGTTTTGGTTCGTGCACAGGTTCCAGGAAAACCACCCGTTTACCAGTGCTAGCCTTCTTCTCGTCGGCTGGCAGCTCTTGCGGCGGTGTGGAATTCAGTATGGATGAGTGGGCACTGCTTTGGTTCAGCTTCCTCTTCCTCCTTTTCGCCTTACATTGACACGGACAGGGGGTCAGATAGAGATACAGCAGTACTAAAACAATACTGGCTACACAGGCAGCAAGGGTGGTAAAAGCTGTATTAAATGCTTCATGAGCGTGGGACCTGTTCACTGTGAAATTGCTAACATTTATTCTAACCTCTATGGTTTCATTTAATAGTCTTTTCTTATTTATTGCGATGCAGGAATACAGCCCTGAGTCCTCTAGCTGGGCATCTGTTATCTCCAGGCTGCCGTTATGGAACACCTTAAAGTTGTCGGTCTCTCTGTCTGGCTCCAGCAATCTGTTGTCTGGACTAACCCAAACGAAGTGTGTGCCCACATCGCTGATTCTGCTGTCACAGTGTACAATCAGCCTGTCACCAACCTGGGCATCATGAATAAACCCAAAGGCTTGGAAAGAGCTGTTGACGGTGCTTTCAGAGCAATTCAGAAAGTTGTCGTGCAGTAAAGGCAGTTTATTGTAACCTCTTGGGTCTGATCGCAACAAACAGGTGTACTCGTTTTTGAAGTCCACCACTGAGCTGAAGTGCCTTTGATACCAGAAGATGAGCATGGAGTACAGCATACAGTCACAATAAAACGGGTTGCCATGAAGATAAATTCCACTAAGATGTTTGGCCGGCACTGAACTCACGCGCTGAATAGGCATCGACTGGATGTGATTAAAGGAAATGTCCAGCAACACAAGGTCTGTCAGTTTATGTTTTCCAGTGTACAAGTCCAGTGGGAAATGCGAGAGCAAGTTATAGCTCAAGTACAGTTTCTGCAATCTGTACAATCCTCCGAAGGCTGAAGACTCTATCTGTGTTATCTGATTGTTGTACAGCAGGAGAACCTCCAGTGCCCTTAGCTCCTGAAACACAGGGCTGCCCAGCGTCTTCAGGCTGTTGGATGACAAGTCTAGGTACTTCAGATTTGGGGTTGTGGAAAAGCTTCCAGTGATAATGCTGCTAATGCTATTATGATTGATTATTAAAGTGTTCAGTTTCTCAAACAGTGCCGGGACCCATTCAGGCTCCAAAAACCCAATTCTGTTATAACTCAGATCCAGCCTTTTCATACATTTATAAAGATTTCCTGGCACCCGAGAAAGGTTCTTATTGGTGCAGCTTATGATATCGCTGGCACAGATGCAGGCTGTTGGACACATCCCCGGGGCACTGCCACAAACGCTCACTGTGAAGACCAAGAGGCATGCCAGTCCTTTGCAGTTCACTTTAAAAACTCCAAGTCGAGTAGGAATTGTCCACCAGTTTAAAGACATTGTCACTGTCTCTTAGCTGTCTCCCAGTGCTCCTTGCCACAGATTATATGTGCAGTTAGCTTTGCACTAATTGCTGTCAAGAGAGGGATACAGAGGTACAGCACGTTAACATTTACAATTCATACCCTGCCTGATTTCTTACGCATGCCTTTTGAAATATACAGGGAATTAATCTTTAATGTTTCATACGGTTAATTATAAAATCTAGTTGTTCTTAGGGGATGTAAGCTTAACATTGGGTTTATGTAAACATGAAATTCTGCACCCAAGTGTACAATACAGATCACAATACAGATCAGATATTTTGTCTCTTCAAAAACAATGCAACTGTTCTTCAGTCTGGGATCAAGGAATGCAATTTCTGACAGTTCATAAAAAAAATAAATCAGAAATGTTCCTCTGTGGAACATGACTGGGCAATGGCATCCCCTACCTGTTTCCAAACCAAGCCAGACAGAAAACTCCTGGTACAGGAAAGAAACAGCCTCATCCAAAAATGCTATTTTCTTGTCTAGTGGGGAGCAGTTACAACATGTGTTTCTTCCCAATCAGAAAATGTCACACATTTTCAAGCAAAGAATTTTCTCAGACTACTTAGCTTTAAATGTCATATGAACTTCTTTCTTTTTTTTTTTCCTTTTTTTTTAAAAAAAAAAAAAATTCAGTAACTGATAGTTCAGGTAGCAACAGCCTATTTTTAAAGTTATGCAAGATGTCCAATTGGAATATTTTGTATTCTGTTCCTGCCACCTTTGCCAAAATAACTGTTGAGGAGGAAATTTTCTATGCCTGGTGCCTACCTCAGGCACAAGTTTTGGGAACTTTCAGTAAGAATGAGTCAGCCATTTCTCAAAACTTTTACTAAAGGAAAAAAATATTTTACTCATACTTAAATAGTAAGAACGAAACCAACCTTACTCTTTTCTAAGAATATTTTAGTGTCACTGTGGTTTGAAGCAGGGATGTAACATTTGGCAGGGGTGATTCTGTGCCACGGGGTATGCTTTTTGCCATCTCCTAAGAAAATGTACACATACTTAGCAGAGTAATGAACATTTCTGTTCACTCTTGCTCTCCCTCAATATCTGTTAAGAGTTTGTCAGTAAATTCCCAGGTGAATCCATATGCATTGATTATCCTCACCCCTTCACAGCTCAAAGGCGGTACTCGGCTCCCACATATTAACCTCATACGCATTTCTGCAGTCTCACCCACCTGTTGGTACAGTATCTGAGCAGGACAAACCCTGCAATATCTGCTCTGCGCTGCTGATAGCGGCTATGGCCAGGAGCTGGGAGACTGCCTGTGGGCAGCGGGGAGGAGAAAGAGCAACCTCAGATGGAAAGAAGCAGAATAAAAGGAGAAGTTGTATTCTCTGATGAGCAAGACAGATGAAGAAAGGATGAGTCTTGAGTACAAAAACATTAGAATCAAGACCTAAAGGGAGGAGGACAGGGGGGCAGAGAAGCAGCCAAAGAAGGGGAGAGAAGGAAAAGGAGGATAAGAGATGCATAGGGAAGGAAGGGCAAAACCAGGGGAGGAGGATGCTAATGGAGAATCATCATTGTTACTAATGAAGCAACTGAGGAGGAGGTAGTTTGAGGATGCAGAAGTCAGTTAAGGCATATGAGACTGGAAAAGCAGATGGGGATGGTGTAAAGGCCAAGACGAGGGTTAAGCAGAAGAGAGGGAAGAGTTTCTGGAGGTGAACCTTGGAACACACTTGTCTGGAGAATTTGCATCTGCTACTTATGGATCTAAGACTATCTATGCAATTAATTAATATATGTGAAATGCACTAATTTCCACTCCCCCTCAGTTCCTTATTCCCCTCCTCTCTAACCTTCTGCCAGTCTGGCAGGCTGCTGTCTTCTGCTGACAAATCTTCTACTCTTAAGTCAAGTAGTAGAGGATGTGCTATGAATCTAAAGAGCTGAACCTTCTAAAGACCCATTAAAAGAAGAAATATGAAGGCAGCAGGATGGGAGAATTAACCTTCACAAGAATTTATATATACATTGGCTTTAAACGTTTGCATTCCCGAAAACTATATTAAGAGAATGGCAAGACTGCCAAGTCAAGTGCTCAAAAATTAAAGTGTCAGAATTAAGGTTTTCTGTGCCATTTTAGATTTTATATACAGCCCTTAGTTACATGATTGCTTAATTTTTTTCCTCAAAACCTTTCCTCACACTGCACAGGATCCAAGGAAGAACAGGGAAAATAAAGGGTGATTACATCAAGAGCTCAGTAAATGGCTATACCTGAGAACTGGAGCATATCCTAGCCTCTGCCATAGAATTCCTGTGAGATCAGGCAAATTATGTGAACTGGTGACTGCTGGAAAAAAAAAGAACATATTACAGTCACCAGCTTGACACTTAGAAAATAAGTGTATTAAGTTTGGGAAGGTCTGATCTCAAGAAGTGCTGAGATGAGAGTCAAAATGCTATGACTCTAGCTGACACTTCTGACTATAAAGGCTTCTCCTTGCTTCCCTGTCTATGAAAGGGATATAGCAACATGATCTTAACTATAGGAATATTGTAAAAATAAATTACTTGATTAGAAAAAAAACTTATTATCAAGATTCATAAAGTTTTCCTAGGCTTTTAAGATCTTATTGAAGTATGTAACTGCATGGGGTTTTCAGTGGGAAGTTAGGAATCCAGAGGAATTATTTTTTTAACCAGTCCTAAGCGACTAACTTAGTTGGTTTTGCTAGCTAGCTAGTATTTTATGGCAACAATTAATAGATACAAGTTCTTTTAGAGGGTGAGACCTATGAAAGCATTATAGAAATGACCATCAGGAAATAATTCTGTACCTCAGTGTGGATTTGTATGGCATGCAGTACATAAGGCATAATGGAAACACACTGACAGATGAAAAAAGAATTTAATAACTGCTCATTTAGTTGGTATATTGCATGAAGCAAGGTATCTGAAAACTGCATACCATAAAACCATGTGCATGATGACTGAATTATAAGGTATCCACAAAATGGGAGACAAACTGCTCTTGTATATGTTGCCTTTCCCACTAATATTTGAATGCTTGATTTTCAACCTATGCAGCCTAATTTTTAATGTAACTGCACTTGCAAAAAGATGAATGGCACTTCCAAAAATCAGCTCCCATGCTGAATACAACTGCGACCCTGGAGATACTCCAAATGGGACATACTAGGTCAATGCTCGGTTTTGGAAGGGTTGCCAAGTTTAATACACTAAGTAGCCTTGCATGTTTATTTCTGTCCATACCTACAATTATCTCACCAATACTCTGAGCTAGTCTGCGATCAAATCCCAAGGGCAGACCAGTGGCTGGTATAAATCAGCATAACACCTTTGAGCTCTAAGGAGCAAAAACACTCTGCAAGGGCTGCAAACTGGATTGTGGATTTCCAAAGCTTGTTGAAGTTGCCGAATGTTTCAGGTAACTTCGGATAACTTGCCTTGCCTGGTGAGGCAAATCCAATTACAGACATCATAAATGTACTATGGGCCACACAAGGCTGTTTTGAGAGTATCCTGACAAGCAGAAACCTTCCTTGCCATGCCCAACTCACAGCGCGATGCTTACATTCCCAACAGGTTCTTTGCCCTTTTGGAGAGTAGGACTGTTGAGCTGCAGCTTGCCCCTCAACCTGTGTTCCCCAAAACTTCTGCATCAATTACACAGGATGGTCTGCAAAGCCAAGCACTCTCCACATAAATATTTATAACCTATGTGATCGTTTGAACTTCTTCAAAATGACTTCATAAACACTTCTGGGTTAGTAATGTGTCCGTGTTAAGCGACAAGGAAGAACAAAGCCTACAATCAGCCTTATATTAAAAAGTGGCATTTTGTTTCAGCCCAATAACATTACTTCAGGTCTTAGAAACGTACTATTTTACAAACTTCAATATTATGTATTTTCTCAAGACAGATATTGCTATTAAATACTATCAGCTAACATGTGCCAACTGACTCAGGCTAAGTACTTCACCATTATTTCTGAATGAGCTGGGTAAATAGCTTTTTTGATTTATAGTAAAGTGAAGGGCATGGTTGGGAGTTTTGTACTTGAATTCTTTTCAAAGAAATCATTTCTTTGTGGTGTTAAAGTGCAATATTTTAAGTTCACTGCCAAAAACACAGTACTCCCTGAGATGAATCATCTGTGCAGTAATGGTGCACATGCTTCTTAACTGTTGAGAAGAAACGCAGGACATGACATATCCTCATATCACAGGGAATATCCTCTGTTGTCAGGAACAGCTCAATTGACTACAGCAGATCAGCTCCTAGACAAGTTGAGGATTTGGCTCTTGGTTTTCATCTTTTTAATGTATGTGGGGTTTTTTTGGGTTTTTTTTGTTTGTTTGTTTGTTTGTTTTTTTAAGTAATGAGCACCTAGAGCTGCTTATGGAAAAGGGGAATGCCGGGCAACCGTAAACATCATCACCATCAGTTATCACTGCAAGATCAACTGATGTCCTAAACACTCATTTCTACTTTCTCTGGGCTCTCTCTCCCACTAATGCTACATTAATAATCTCTAAACCAGCTTTCTCTTCCCCTGTAAGTACCTTCGGGCTTATTGCTGTTTCTTTTGGTGAAATCTGTACACCAAGCTATCTCTCCCAGTTCATTTGAGACTTTGCTAAAAAATTCTTATGTGGTACATCTCTTAATTTAAGCAGTGAAATGTACTGGAGATCACAAGTCACCTGAATGCTTTTGTAAACACTACCATTAGTCTTTTCAATGTTGAACAAACTGGATTGATAAATGCTTTACAGTAGGAATAACATCTTCCTGTACATTGGTGATGCAAATAGTCCCACATCTGCCTGGCACTTTCTGTACCATGAAAATGCAAATATTTGCTCACAACCCCCCTATACTACTGCAGGAATACTGTTGAGCCTCTAAAGAGCTCAAACACCAGAAAATACTAAAGATCTCAGTCCGCCCTCCAGAAGGTCCACACCATTTCTGCATCTCCTAGCTTTTTCCCTTGTGCCACGTCTCCTGTGGCTGTCTCCTCTGACTCCTCTGTTCCTCAGTCTCGCCA